AGGTTTTGGTAGGAAGTGGATTACGGTGACAGCACGTTAATGGGTTTTTAGGTCACAGCGTAGATGATAAACGTTGACTAAAGGTTAAATGCTAAATTTAGTCCCTCAGCTTTAGTAAGTTGCACATTTTTGGTCCCTTAACAATTTTTTACACTTTTTTGATCCCTCAACTATACAAAATGCACTCCGTTAATCCTTTTGTCAATTTGGACCATTAACTCGGCCACATGACATTTTTTATATATTTTTTTGATGACATAGCGAGCACAACTTAAAAAGATGCTTATCTGGACTTTTTTTTTTTTTAAATGACATGTCATCTTCTTACTTTTTTTTTTAAATGACATGTCATCTTCTTCACGCCAAACCCCTCCAATGGATCCTAGTTGCCTGCAAACTGGTCTCTCATCTTCACCCTTTGCAAAATCGATCTTAACCCATGTCTTCTTATTCTTTGAATGCTCTCTCATCTCCATTCCATTTGCAAAATCGATCTTAACCCATTTCTTCTTCTTTCGTGAATGCTCTCTCATCTCCACACCATCTACAAAACCAATTTTAACTCACCCATTTCTTCTTCTTCTCTTTTCTCGGGAAACTTGAGCTACTAGATTTCATTGAAACCTCAAACCTGGCAGATCTTATCAAATCAAAATAACCCTTCAATAAACAATATCAGTCAAACTCTAATTGAATTTCAATAAAAATATAATCAAACTTTAATCAAATTCCAATAAAAATGCAATCAAATTATAAATCAATCTCTAAATTTATTAATAATTGGAAATGGAAATCGAAAGAAGAATGAGAAAACAAGAACCCAGCTTTCCCAGCAAAGCTGGGTTCGGTTGAAACCCAGCCTTGATTGGTCGACGAACCCAGCCTATCCTAGGGCAGGAAAGAAAGAAAGAAAGAGAAAGAAAGAAAGGGAAGAAGAGGGATTGGGAGGGTGAGGGTGAGGGTGAGGGTAATAAAGTAATTTTATATGTTTTTAATTAAAATATGTATATTAATCTATGTGGCATTTTTATTTATTTATATAACATAATTATAATATACATTATTGCCACATCATCAAAAAAAATAAAAAACAATGCTACATGAAATTATTTAACTGCCACATATACTTAACTGACGGAGGGACCAAAATTGTGTAATTTTTAGAGTCAAGGGATCAAAAGAATGTAAAAAATTATTAAGAGACCAAAAATGTGTATTTTGTAAAGTTGAGGGATTAAATTTAGCATTTAACCTTGACTAAACATGGGAAGGAATGTTGGGCTGTGAGTGACTCACGGTTTCAAATAAGATATAATATATTCCCTTTCGAGTTTCAACATGTTGGAGATGATATCAAGAAGGATATAAAGATATAAGTTGGGTTTAGCTATTTTCTATTCATGATAGGTTAAATGTTAAATTTGGTCCCTCAACTTTAGTGAGTTGCATATTTTTGATCCCTCAACAATTTTTTGTACTTTTTTTATCCTTAAACTTTAAGAAATGCACTCCGTTAGTCCTTCTGTTAATTTCGATCGTTAACTCGCTCATATGGCATTTTTTATTATTTTTTGATGACGTGGCAAAAACAAATTGAAAACATGTTGATGTGGATTTTTTTTCATGCCAACTCATGATTACTATTTATATTTAAAAAAAAAA